GCACGGTTTGTCAATCCGTGTGCACGGTTTGCCAATCCGTGTGCACGGTTTGCCAATCCGTGTGCACGGTTTGGTAATCCGTGCGCACGGTTTAGTAAATGTTTTACCATGTCCCTTCGGGGGCTCCGTAGATACTGGAGTATGTAGGGTAGGATATATATATACGATAACCTCTACTTAAACTTTTCAGTAAACCGACCGGTCAGAGAACAGGGTTTGATTAATTAATGTGAAAACATAAACAATGGACAATATAATGTGTGACGTCAGTGACACGTACCCTGATGCTTTGTTATGTGACGTCACAATACAACATTACACATATTGTGTTAATAGTTTGAAAATGACAATGAGATGTACAAAAATGACGCAGTGCTCAATCAAACCACCATTAAAATTTACAGATTATCATATATGACCATTTCCATATCCTACTCCGTATCATCCCGAGACTCCTTTATCAGCCCGAGGGGCCGGAGAACAGATTCGAGGGCTGATATGGGTAGAGGGCTTGGAAGCACGGTCCCACTACAAACAGAACACAAAACATCTCCAGCACACACGCCGGCATTCACACAGAGGGAGATAGCAGCCATGTGGCATAGGACTAGTAGTTAACTTAGCGCCTGATAAGGCAGCTCCTGCGGATTCCTCAAAATTGTATTGATTAATGTATATATATGCTTATTGTATTAATTGTATAAAAGCGCGTTAGAGTGGCTTAATTATTCTAGCTAGATATTATATCAAATCACGGAATTAGATTATAGGTTATCTAAGTCCGTGATCAAATGTTGTATATTATTATTATTATATAGACCACAGATGGATATGCAGTTTGTATATACTACCAGTTCGATGTGTAATTCTTCTGAAAAGAGTTCTACCAGAAATTAAACGGGTATGGCACGTGTCGGGCGGATATGCATGGCGTGTGCCGGGCGAATAAGGCGTTTGCCGGGCCAATATGGATTGCTCCGGGAAATGGCCAGTCCACAGCTAGTAGTACACACCTTTTTCCGTATCGTACCCAGTATCTACCCGAGACTCCAAAATCAGCCCGAGGGCTGATATTGGTCGAGGGTTGATACTGGGTGTTTTATGGAAAAAGGCATGTTTTATTCTGTTTATTACATACTTACTTATAAACTACGGATATATCTACTGTCTTATGATATGTTTTTCTTTTGAAATATTGAAAACGAAAAAAAAAATCATAGAAAGGGGTGTGATACGGGTTTTACGGGCTGATACGGAGAGGGCTGATACGGGTTTTGGGGTGTGATACGGTGAGGGCTGATATGGGTTAGGGCAATTGTGTCGTATCACATATACAAAAAAACCGTATATATTAGTAAGTATTTTATAGAATCTCTTATCATATGTTTACTAATAATAACACCCTTTTTGTATGTGTAATAAGTCTAAAATTTTCACAAGTTGATATCAGCCCGGGTGATATCACACCCCCTTGATATGGGGTGTGATATCAAAATGGTCATATAATAATTTCTAAATATCGTATCTCATAGGTATAAGACATCAATGGAAAGCCTGTGGCTTGTGATGCTGTTATTTTGTCCGCATTTCGTTAATGAATTGGTGGTAGAGTGCGCAAAGAACGGTATCTAACATTAAATATTAGGACGTCTCGACTAGTGAAGTCTAACAGTCACATACGTATATACACATAGTTAATTAAAAGGACGGATAAAACTTAGTCAGAATAATCTTTCCAGTTCACTTTGAGCCAATTTTAAAAACTATTTAAACTTTCGGCGTTAACCACTGAATTCAGCTGATAAATTGTCCCATTCGGTGACTACTTGATTGCTGAACATGTACTTGGTGGTGTTTGAGCGGTTTTAACAACTCATAGCAGACAAGTATGTCACTATCAAGAAAGGGAAATCTCACTATCAATGTATAATGCAGCTGTCTATCCAAAAAGACCTCGTGTATAGTGGAAGTAGCTATATAATGGATATTAAAGCATTGAACTGTTTTTGCATGGTATTTATGATCTATTTGAATGACACAGCTTTACAAGCAAACAACATAACGCGCGTTAATGCGCTAGCGCATTATGATTTGTTTGCTTGCAAAGCTGTGTCATTCAAATAGATCATAAATACCATACAAAAACAGTTCAATACTTATATTTACNAGTACTTTGAAATTTTAACAAACACTTCAATTTTATTCCACAATTCAGTATCAATACAATTGCGTATGATATATCTATAGGGTGATTTAAGTTTATCAATAGAACTCTGAGCTGAAAGTAATATTTGAAATTGTTTCGATTTTCCCCCGGAATAAATTTCGCGCATGGACAAATACAGTGAACACCGTAAATCCGACCTTGCCCTCCACGAGGGAGTTATTTTTGGAAGTTAATTCGAACAGAGACCTGAAGTTAATTTAGGTCTATGATTCGAACTTTTCTCTTTGCTCATTTTTTGAAGAATCCATGCGTGAATGTATTTGTTGATTGTATGGGAACCTGACAACAGTCGGTAGATTCTATAACACACTCGTTATTTGACATGTCGTCAGAAACTGAAGAATGGTGGATGCGAGACGCGTGAAAGATAGCGTTTGAAGTGAGTGATCTTGCGACGGAGCACAGGTTCGTTACAAATGTCTGAAATGTTTATGTGTGCTGCGACTCATATCAGTAGGTCTGTAACATATGTGTCAGTAGGTCTATAAAATATGTGTATTTCAGACATTTGTAACGAACCCCTGTTGATCAGTGCAGTGTAACAGACGATATTTCTGATAAATTGCATGAGCGTTAAAATTGTTTCCATTGCCGGCATTGGTGATTTCAACCGATGTGCATTTTGTACATTGGTCTTGTTTTCGTTGTAATAAAAGAGTTTTTTTATTTTATTTTTTATTTTGCACATAAATTTACAATGGCATTGTCAAATCTCACAATGCCCAGCGATATTTCAGCAGCCGTCATGTTTATTTATATTGGATATTGTAGTTCCGGTCAGTGTTGTATTAATACGCTAAGAATTGTGTCTCTTGATGCATGGTAACTAAAGTCCCATCAACGACACAGCTTTCAAAGAGGCTATATAGTGACAATGCCATGCAAATGTAAATATATATATTTAATCCAACGATAAAGACAGTTTTGAAGATTCAAACAACTCATATAACGGATAAGTATTTAATTAATGTATAAATATGTACGTCAACCAGATCTCTACATAGTCTCTCTGATTGAAAAATAATTTACTTTCGACGGGGCCGAAAGAATCGGTTACATCGGATTATTACATCTTACTTCAAAGTAGTAACAAAATGGGAATCTTGCTTTGCAAGTAACGCTGTTGTTACTGTATCGAACAACTGGGAAAAGGGCCAGAGAAGAGCTGCTAATGTTAAATCGGTTCTAAAACACGACACCGATCGAGCAGTCAATATCCAGGGCTTACGCTCACTTACGCTCTTTGCACACCTGGAATATTTTATAGCAAAATTGAAGGCTCAGTGTGCGCCACCTTGTTGGTGAGTCAAGAATACTAGTTTGATCCTTTGATATACATCAGAAATATCTCGCGGTCGCGTAACGTGAAAAAATGACTGGTTTTGAAGTCGGGTGTCACCCCTTTGTAATCTTCAAAGGACATGCATCAACCTATCGATTGGTCAGGTTTTGTTACCTGAGACCAATCAAACAGCTGTCTTTGTGCCTTCAATTTTGCTATGACATATTCCAGGGATGCAGAGAGCGTAAGTGAGGAGCGTAACCCCTGGATATCGACTTACTTCACTTCACGTGTGAGAAATTCCTGGGCTCATAAGAGCAGTTAAGTATTTTTACAGCCTATTTTCTGCATATAGAAGATCTACAGAAATATTGATACAGTGACCAGATACAACTGCAACAGATGTGTAATTTAAAAAAAATATAAACAATGAGATTATCTTAGTGTCAACAAAAACCGCAATTCGCACTTAAAATCGAAATAACTAGAGCAATCTATTAAC